GCTTTTTCATAAGCCGCAAACACTGTATTGTGTTAGGGTTGCCCAGGTCCTTTAAACGAACTTCTTGAAAATTTCAAAGCTATTCTAGAATAGGGGATTAGTTGGTCTTTTATGCCCATACTTTGTTTTTCCATAATATTAAAGCACTTGCTCGTAATCGTGCCTTAAACTATGCCAAATTTCATGTTTTTCACATGTCTAAATCAGGGAAAATGGCCCCGAAACTTGTTTGGCCCGTTACCATGGCAACGATCGGTGCTGACCGGAAAGAAAGCTATTTTGAGGGGTTGTGGGCCAAGTACTATCACTGTGCAAAGTTTGAGCCAAATCGATTTTTTGACCCCTGCCACCATTGTTTGATCCTTACAGACATTCGCTCTTAAGTTTCCTCAGTGTGATGTGGTGTTGAAAGCAGACCTTCCCAACCTGTACATGTATCACATGTCACTGGTGGGTGCCTACAAAGGAAGGAATCTACATTTGTACCAATGCTGAGCGTTAATTTTTGTTCTTCAATTCAGTCTTATCTGGTATGTAAATAGAGATTAAACTGGCTGAAGAACGGAGGTATAGTTACAGAACTGATATGAAATTTGGTATAAATCACAGCTGCTAGTACGTGGGACATAAAACATTTGAAAACTTCAACTTGAAAACACTTCCTCTTTGTGATGTATTCAAGCAAGCAATTCAGGCTCTGTGCCTTTGTTTGTGGCTGAAGAGAGGGAATGGAGTAGGACTATTCAATTACATTCTGTATTTCCATTGTGTATTTCCATTGTGACTAGGTGGAAATTCCCTGACTCTCATTTCTAACAGAAGATGACTTCATGGGTTTTTCCTTGACATAACCAGCACTGATTGGCCACTGTCATTAGGGCCTTCCCCTTTTCTTTAAGCTATAAAAGTCACTGTTTAGTAAAAGTCCTGGCAGTGCCTAGTTGTGCTACTGGAAGCACACAATCATGGAGCCACTGGTAAGCCCTGGTCTTTTCAAACATTTGTAACTTAACCGCTAGATCATTGTGTAGGTAATTCTAATCCTAGTCAAGGTATGAAGACTAACATGTTAGATAAATTTACATACTATAATTGCAAGGCAGACAAGGTGCTTTATCAAGGTCCAACTGTAATTCACAATTTTTACACAGTACTTTTAATTTCACGGTTTGTACAGTCACTATCTGTACTGCAAACTTAATTACTGTGAACAAATAACTTGTTGACTTTGTTTTTGCTGCCACTGTAAAAGTATACGTCCACCACCGAGGCCATTTTTCTCAGACTGTGAACTTTTGCTACCGTGAACATTAACTGATTTACAGTGATTGGTTCCTGTCAATTGAGCATCAGGCATTTTGGAAGTTAGCTTGTGTCACTTTAGAGGTATAAAAAAGCACAAGTTCCCCACAGATTCAATATGTCACAAACTTCAACAGTCTACATTCAGAGGCAACAAATTTGTATTGGAAACAGGGTTTGGCAGCAGGGGAAGGTAAAAAGCAGAAGTATGAGTCAGACAAAGGAATGGCGCACATTCTGGTCATGCAGGACTGGTGTAACATAGCATGTAACATGATACCACAGGAGCAATGCCTTTTGAAGGCAGATGTTATGTCATGACTTAGTGTTATACATCTGATACTGCGTTTGTAAGGCCACACTAATTAAGTCAATAATTTCTTGGCTTTCATTTTATATTTCTACTGAAAAAATCAAAGAAGCAATGAATAAAATTTGAGTTTTTGCCTAATGAATTTCTATACCGAGGAATTACAAAAAACACCAATGAAAATTATTTGGTCTGACCCTTGGACACAATTCTTCCCTACAGTATCATTATGATAATAAGATGTACATTTTGTAGATGATCTTGTTTTTCCTGATCAACAAACTGATTCAGAAGTGTTTTTTTTCAGCTGATGTTTTTGTTTCAAATCATGGGTTCCATTGGTGGTGTAGAGTCTGGAAGCAGTAACAATTGTAGTACTGTTGCTTTAATGTTCACAAAAAGGATTCATGTACCAGACAGCATCTACAGTCAACAACAGGTAGGATATAATTTACTAATTAAAGCCTGTCTTGTGACCACACCAAGCATCAGCTATTGTCATCCTAGATATAACCTTAATATGACTTAGTCTAGTAGTTAATAAAAATGAAAACTTTCCAGTAAGCAAGCACACATTGGACAAGATGTGGAAACCATATCATGATCTATAATCAGAAGTTCAACACAACAAAATGAACCATGACTAGTACATGTAATACAAAGTGATAAATATATTGTGAATGGTGCTACTTACCATGACCATTATCATCTTCTTCTTGTTCATGACCAATTCCTACAGGCAAGACATGAGCTAGAAACACCTGATCTGACAGCTTATGACAGTACATATGAAGTCACTGTGTCAACATACACCAAGTGGGATGTTGGTCTTCTTGGAGGGCCTCATGACTACATGAAGATATCACGGTACTAGTGTAATATGTCAGTCTATACTCTGCCCAGGGGTACTTTCTGGCCTGTTACAACAGATTGAGTGCCTACATGATATCTTCTGTGTTCATGTGCTACAGCAGTCCTCCGTAGAAACCACTGCTGTAGTGACCACCTCTGTGACAAAGCCGGTGAGGAGACAGTGGATGGCAAGCTTTTCATGGCCTACTAGTAGGTATCTGCTGTTTAAAATACTGGTTGCGTAGCAGTGGTGGTCAAAAATTGGACAAAAAGACACCAAAAAAAATCAGATCATCAGCAATTGGCCTTTATCTGTCAGGTAATATCTGATCTACTATGAAGATTATCCTGGTTTCAAAGCTCAAACAAATTTACAATTTGCTCACCTTTGATTTTAATGATTTCCAAAAATAACAATCCCCATTTGAGTGTAATATTACAAATAAGGAAGCCAAAACTATACATGGCACAATATTACACTTGACTACATGTAGTGTTGGGTGACAAATAAAAGTCACCCTACATGTATGTTATGAAGGTTTTTTCCCCAATTGGCAAAACCAGAGAAACAGCAAAAAGGATGCAGCAAGAGTTATGAATTTCAAAACAATCGATCATAACAATTTGGAGATACTGAAATGTTGAATTAATGTATTCTTGTGCTAAATCTGATTAATTTGTTGATTCTTTACCCCCAACTTGATGGATAGAGGTTAAAGGCTGTTATAAGAGACAGCAAGGATGTGTTTTTGCTTGCCTACTTTCTTCATCATGCTGTTTTATCCAGTTATATAATGTGATAAATGCTAAATCACAGTGCTACGTAGTGGTAAGGAGTTATACATGTATGCCAAGAGTTGTATTGCTTACTTGCTTATGCTCTTATATAGACCCTGTTATATTATGCTATTATGATTGTGATATGGCATGTTATGGATGTTAAAATGGTTTGCCTAAAAAGTTTATTGCTCCCTCATATGATGGAAAAGTATTAAAACTGACCCCCTCTACTGGTTAAATAGCTTGTTACATACAATTATCCAACATAGTATACATTATTCTTTCAGAATTGTTTTTAATTCGCTTAAGTGTCGCAGCTACAAATATATCTATTTTAAAGATTATGAATGATTGAAAAATGTTTTTAAAATGTACATATTCTGCGAATTTTAGTATTTGAAGTTAGAATGTTGTAAGTAACAATGTTAATTCAACGTATTTTTCGAAATGTAATAACTTAGATAGTCTAACAATTGTAACGTGTTCGCTACTTGTGTACAGACCTCACAATTCAGCCGTGAGGCTGCGATGGGTTTTGGTTTTCAATAAACAATTATGGAAGTGTCACCATCAGTTAACATTAACTAATATGCTAACCTTTAACAATGCATACTAGGAGGGATTAGAGTAACTGTTATGATTGAATTTTTAAAAAATCAAGATTTATTTGTATTTACAACTGGCTAATGTACACGTGAAAAGTTTTCTAAGGCTCCCAACCACACCTACATTCTATACAGATGAGATGTCCAAATGTACATGTAAATCACCTACTACTTTCAAAGTAGTTTTTCATATATTAGTAAGTCTTTACAACTGACTGGAGTGCATGCATGGGAATTGTATCATGTGTATGGTAACAGTTTCCATTACCTACATTGTAAGCTCTGTTAAGCCATCTTCATGCTAAGGTACATTTTTGAGACAAAATTGGGTTAACTTACATGTAAAGTCTTAGGCAGCAAGAAGAAAGTTAAAGGCTAGAACAGCTAGAATGTCATGTCTACATGTCGTGTAACTACTACTTGTCATACAAATGACAAAAAACATTTTAATTTAGTGAAAACATTATGTATGAAGTGTGTAAAAGTACAAAAGGTAGATGACTCTGTTACATGTTATCTGCATACAGGCCTGAAAATGCCTTTCAGATGTCATGCTTGTGAACATTTCAGTGAAAACTTACTGATATTAAATTTTGTACCTGGATGGATACAAAATATGAAACGAAATTACTGGGCGTTGTTTCATAACACATTATACATATAACGTGCCTTTCACAATAAAGCAGAATTAACAGGACCAGTGGTTTTCTTGAGTCCTTTGTTGTCAACTTACATTTGTTAGTCTTCACAACCCAGTACGATTTTTGCTCAATATGGTTACTGTTAATAATGCATGTTTTCTGCAGCCACATGCAATGCAAACTGCATTTTCCTTTTCAAAAATGAATGATGTTGACTTCAAACATTTATAGCTAAATCACAATTACAGTGAGTATCATTGTGTTACAGGCAGCAGTGTGTTTCTCTCAAGGTCCTTTGTGAAGTCAGGTAAACAATAAAGCAGGTGTGTACACCTGAGAAACAGATCACATGACCACAGGTAGAAAGTCCCTGCAACCTGTTTCTAAAAATAGACATGAGTCATTGGACTTTCCATGACACCTGTGCTCTGATTGGCTTGCTAGACTGGGGATTCCCCTTAGCTATAAAAGCAACAGAACAACCGCCATCTTTCTCTTTGCTGTTGGACCCTGCCAGGGGAAGGACACAAGGAGCTCGAGGTAAGCAATCAGTCATTTCTCATGCTGCTAATTAATAATAAGTTGAACATGAACAATGCACTTGATGGCATAGCATGTAATATTAGCCATACTTGCAATTCCAGCATTGCCAGTTATATTGGCATTTGACATGCAGGATACCATTTCAAGGGGAGCAGTCAGTAAGGTGGCCTGTTATGTGAGCGTTATTTAGTCTTGAAGCTAAAGGTCACCCCTACTTGATACATGTTGTGTGTTGGGTTGTTTATTAACTGTTCACCGCATTTTGCACAGTCATTCAGTTTTCTCAACAACGTTTTTTTTAATAACGTGGGTAAAGTACAGACGACCTGCTCTGCTTTCAGGAACTGTATTTACTTTCTCATACCGTTGTTACTATGAATACCATGTTTGTTCAAGCAAATTCAATGTACACAGTATGTCACATGATCCTTCTCTACAGGTCAATAATCATGGGGGCTACATGTATTTTCGGAAGACCTGATGACTTAGATTCTGATTTTTCCAGTCAATTTGCACCTGGAAGGAGGTAACTATATTGTAAATTATAATGAAACTAGAGTTCCACGATCTCATACCTTCGCCAAATGATGGTAATCTGTTTATGACTGGCAAAGTAAAGATTATTCCTCCTGATTATGCAAATATGATCCTCATTTGCATGAATTATATCTATTAAGTTGCTCATATTCCCCACCAAAAGACAGCATTATCTTTAACAAAGAAATCCATTCTATCATTTCCTCATAAATTATGCAAATGAAGTCCTTATTTGAATAAGTTATGTTTGACTGCTACAATATTTAATTAATTTCTTACATCATTTTCACCTATAATTTGATATTATCAACCAATCCAGATGTACAAAATGTAAGGTTGCTGAGATATGTGGATTGGAACTTGAAATCCAGAATTAAACTTGTAACATGTGTTAACAGTTAAGAGCATTAACATATAGACTAACACACATGTGCAACAAGAATCAGTCTAGAAGATCCAGACCACAAGAAGTAGACCCTCCCAGTGAGAGAATAAATAAGGAGCAGAACATCACTTCATCTGTGGCTCATCACTGAATGGCTGAGTACGCCCAAGAAGACAAAGATCCCACTTCTGACACCATGGAATAAGTCTCTGTTATATATAATGAACATGAAGAGTTCAAACATTCCTATCCAGCTACGGAGAGTGGAAATTTCAGAAAATATATAATATGGAAAACCAGCAAGATAATCTTAGGCTATAACTTTTGCCTATTAAAACCGCCATGATTTTCTTTCCAGAAGATGGAGTCGATCTGGGACCTACATGTAGAGAGGGATGGACACAGAAATTATTGTACAGTTGCAATAATGACCCATGGTACATGTATGTGTCTTTACAGGGTAATGTGTAATTTACTTCATCATTGTTTTCTGATTCTGTTCTTGACACTAACAACCTAGTACCAAGTTTCATGACAATGTATATACAGCTTCATGAGTTATGCTGTTCACAAACAGTCAAACTCTACTAAAAACATATTAACCATCTTGGCGAAGGTAATAAAAAAATGGCCTTTCACTACAATATGGCCATGACAGCAAAAAGGTCATCAATAGGTTATGAAACCCCCTAGGAATGTTTTTTTCTGGGTACATCCTGGGTACATCTCCTACATCCCAATCCTAAAAATAGTCTTTTGGGACATAGTTTACTTCATATTTGATTCTAGCTAGTATATTTTTCATCGTTACGCCATGTTGATTTGATTATATGGATGACATCCGAGCGCACATGAATTTTCGGCCATTTCCAAAAAAAAAAAAAGTTTTCAACCATACTGTAAATCGTACAAAACAGTTTGCAAAATGAGCAAAAATATACCATAAGTTACAAAAAAAATTAATAAAAACTATACCAATGTCGTAGAATGCCAAAATCAAACGAAAAAAGACGAAATTGTAAAGAAATGAACTTGAAGACTAGATTATTCGCCAAACCATATTCTGTGCCATTTGCTCAACCCTCATGACCACGTAGATTTCATAATGAAAAGAACTTTTTTTTTTGCACAACTTTTTTTTTTATTCGCACGCGCGCATCAGTTTTGGGGCTCCCGGAGGATGTCATCCATATAATCAAATCAACATGGCCTTACACATTAAGTCAACCTAAACTCATCACTGTGAGTATTCCAACTAAAATAATCAAACTGAGAGAAATCATACTTCAGTCCATCAATCTTAATCAAACAGAATATTACAAAATAAATAAATAAAGAGAGTCACACATTGCACATTTGTACCATCATTACAACTGACAAGTCTACATATTAGCTAAATCTTAGCTGAAGTGTTCAGCATCTACTGGTACATACAAAATATAATAATTATCATTATAATAATTACAGAATTTCTTACCTCCCCTTATCAGCTGCAGGAAGGCTTAAAAACCTGAAGGTATGACATATACGATCATTGCCTAAATGATTCTATCTTTGAACAACTGTTGCATGTCACCCTCTAGTTTGAAAAAAAGCTATAAGTTACATACAATGTAAATCGACAGAGTGACAACCAAATGACTTTCTCTCACATGTAATTGAATGTTATCATGAAAGTTTATCTGAGTGTGTTGGTACTTACATGTAAAAAGGTAAAACTTTTGGTCCAACACAAAAAATTCTCTCACCTAAAGCTTTCGACCAGCTGGTCTTCCTCAGTAGACTGACCCAGTGAAGCTTTTAACTGTACACAATTATGTACTTGTAAGAACGTACATGGTTAGCATAGTTTTGCAAAAATAAGGTCAACATTTGGCCAGAGGAGTGTGGTAACATTTATCGTCCCTAAATTTTAATTTCTTGACTAGAATTTACTACTTTTCACCCTCCATTGAGTCTGGCAGAGACTAGCCTTGTGACAGAAAAGATTACATTGTAAGTTACATGCAAATTTGTCATAGCCTCACTTGTTATTTCTTATCATCTGATTCTACAGAAATGTACTGCTGAAGCAGAGAGGTGCACCAGAGGTAATGCCACTTTTACTAGATTTCAATTTGGCCTCTATAATAATTATAATCACAAAATAATGGCCTTTCACTTGACTCAATGGCAGCAGAATGGTCATCAGATTTCACCAGACTGAGTATGAAACTCACTCCCTAGGAATCTTAATAAAACAGAATATTACAAAATAATGCATAGAGAGTCACATTTGCACATTTGTACATTATTACAACTGACAAGTCTACAAAGCAAATCTCAGCTAACTGAAGTGTTCAGCATCTACTTGTACAAATTAAAGTCATACAAAATATAGAATTTCTTACCTCTACTTTGTATGTTGCAGCAAGGCTAAAAGAACTCAAAAGAATCAAGGTAAGATGTTCATGTACATGATTCTGTATGACTATGATTGACCAGCACTGATATTATGAACAAACTAGAGTTCGGAGGACTCATGCCTTTGACAGTGTGATATTGTTTTGGTGGGTGTTGTGTGTGTTATATATATAGTGTAGGTTTTTTGAAGATGATTATTGTGTACAGTAGTGTTATAGTGGTCAGAGAGTCCTTTTGTGAATGAAACAACATACTATTTCTCAAGCCTGTACCATGTCTATTACGGATCATAGAATTCGGCAAAAAAAGAAGAGACAATTGGCCTGGGAGTCTTGGGAGAATTGGGAGTCTTGCCGCGAAAGGTTGTTTTCTTCCCTCCTGGCCATTGTGTATAAAAAGCACATCCCTGCTGGGGCACTCTTGGCCCAGGGGCACTCTTGGCCGGGGCAATGTTGTTTCAACATCATCATCATCATGATGTTTGCTTCAACAAACATTCAAAGAAAATATTTTCCCAGGAAAGCCATTGTTGACAGCTTCCTGTCTGTAACTTGTTGTTTTAACCTAGATATAAAGCCAAAGCAAGACTTCGCCTGCCCTTACAAATGTTCAATCACCAAAAGCATTTTGGAAGTTCCAACATCAACTCTCATAAATGTTGCTATGTTTAATGCAAGTGATACTATGTTTGTCAAGTGATACTCAAGTGTCCATAGTTTTCAATGTACAGTTTTGTCTATCAAATCAATAAGCAGTTTTGCAATGTAGATGGTAGATCCATACAAACTTTCAAGTTCTTTACTTGTACAGCTGGACAGATGAAATATGAATGTATAAATTGGTTACGATGCTGCTGCTGAAAGTATTAGTGCATGTTAAAGATCGTAAACAGTTATGATGTGTTTCTACAGGCAATGGAGTGGCTGAGAAGAGGTAATACCACATTGACTTTTACTAGATTTCCATTTGGCATCTTGAAATTTTGAATACTTGAATAAAGAAGCATAATATCACAAAATAATCATGGCCTTTCACTGCACTATGGCACCATGGTAGCATCGGTCATCGGATTATGAAACCTCCGTAGTAATGTTACAGAAACATACTGGGTACTTCATATTTGACTGAAGAGAGGAGTAAGATAATTTTTTCTAGGGGATCTCTAGCGTGGCTTGCTGGATAGAATTTTACATGAAACGATGGTCTCTCATCATGACTGTCTTTTCGTCTACATCTTGCAATAAAACTTCATCAGATCAATCAGATTATCTCAATCTCCAGTTAGATCTGTCCTTCTTTCAGGCCATTCTTTGTGAAATGTAAAAGAATGTCCCACCACCCAAGCCAGCCATGCAGTTCCACAGGACTTCTGGCTGCCTACGCCCTGTGTAGAATATGCAACATTCCACCTTACTGAGCCTGTAGTCTCCCTTTCATTTGGGCTTTCCCACGTGATATTATATACATTGTATACATGTAGGCGTTAGGCATACTTGATCTGAAGTGTGCAATGCTAACCTATGATGACCGGAGATAATTGCCCGGAATCTTGCCAGCCTTTCCTAACTCCCTCCAAACATACCGGCCTTCAACCTATCATCCTATGGGCACCAATCTGGCGTCTACAATCGAGCCAACATACCTGATTTTCCTCAACGGCTTCACAAATTCACAGAGGCGCTGAAGGAATTCGTCAAGAGCTACCCCGAGATCATAGTGTGGGATCACAGACATGTATGGAGATGCAACCCAAACAACTTTGCGCCTGACGGCCTACATGTACACTTGTCCGATCTAAGAAACCTCCGGTTTTACAAGATTGTCCATGGAGCATTAGACAGCTAATTGAAACACATTTCAATCGTCTTTAACTTGTCTTCTTTAGAACGCTTGATGGGTATAAACGCATTTCAAACAAAAAAACATCTTCTCTTTTCTCATCTCAATTTGTGCCCAATTGGCCATTTTTCTCCCTCTATTCTCTGTTCGTACACGCACATGTGTACATGTACGTAGTCTCTGTTTTTTGCACAGTTAGGCTTGTATTGGCCGGGTTGTTAACATGAAAAACATGACTCAATATATTTGAGACAATTTCTATTCTACCCCATGCCTTTGCAAATTTTGATATAAGTCTTGATAACTTATTCAAAAAGTTTCTTTATACACAGCAAGTGCCAAATAGTATGTAGAGATTGCATACAATGTTAAAAAATGTTAATATTCATTATTTATCATTCTTTCACAGTTACAGTGTGGTTTGGTGGAGGAAAGTCATCATTTAGCAATTATAGTCTTCAGGTAACAATACTGATTTATCGAATATTATTGCAAAGTCAACTTTTGGTTAGGCCATGTTCACTTGCTCTCTTCATTTTCATTCTGTGCATGTACATTTAATATTCCTGTGTATGTCCTCAAAATTGTCATCAATGTTTGAGCAATTCTAACTGTGAACTGCAAATCTTAAGGACATTTGGAACCTCTAACAAAAAGCTATGTTAAAATGGCAATATCAGGCAATATTCCAAAGTCCATAGTTTTCAATGTAAGCCATGTTGGAGCGCTTTTCAGCATGTACTACAGACATTCAGGATCTTTGCTTGATATAAGTTGTACAGCTTTACAAACATAATTACAGCTACAGTAACTGTACATCAAAGTGAAAATTAGTGGTGCAAAAATGTTACAGACTGTTACTTCTAATACTTAAAAATTATATCTTTTTACAGGTTTACAGATTTACACAAAATGCATTCCACAGAGTGAGTGAAGGGAGAGGTAATGTCAATTTTACTCTACATTGTACCTTGATTTTCTATCTTTGTTTTTCTTTAGCTCAATTTTTTTCAAATTGAAGCTACGCTCAATCAGTTACCCACTAGAGATACACCAAGAGAAACATTCTTTAAGTTCCTATATATTTAAAGTAGGCAAAGAAGAAAGGAAGATATTGTCCTATGGCATTCCATAGTTTCATGCGCAACTAGCACTGGTGGAGTAGATAGCAAACATCAGCTCATTGTTCTCCTTTTTATGTTGCAGGATGGCAGGCAAACCTTCAGACGGTAGGACACATATCAACTACTGATGATATAACACTGGTCACCTCAATTTTGGAATGTCACTTTCCGAATTTTGAGACAGCTATGTTGAAACCCCTGATTTTCAACTTTGTTATTCCTGGATGTACAGTGAACTTTTGCATGCCATTGGAAAGATCATGCTATCTTCAGTACCAGGTTGCTTTTTTTATGGTCAGAATGTACAAATTTATCAAGATATTTGACTTTAAAAATTGCAAGCCTGGCGGTCTAGAACACACACCGTCATGCCCAGGCACTTAGCCTGGCAGTCCTAAACTTTAGCCCGCGGCCTGAGTTAGCCAGCCCGCATCCAGACCGCATCCAATTAGCCTCATGAACACCCCATGAAAACCACTGAATTAATGAGAATTCACATTTTCACACCTGTGTAATTAACAAGTTTGTGATAAATTCATGAGAGGTCTGGGCTCAATGGTTAGCCCGCGGGCCTGAACAGGCCTGTCGGTCTGTGGACAGGCTGGGCTGATGATTAGGCCTTATGATAGAGAACCTTCAGACTTTAAACACCAAACAGAAAGTGGGAAACAAAAATATGCTTCCAAATTGTAGTTAAAGAGTTTGGTTAAAGGGGTTGGTGGGCCCTGAAGGAGGCAGTTTACATCCAGGGCCCACCAACCCTCTCTGAACCGTGATGGTGGGAGATACCGTCTTCCCGCCACTTTTGATGCACTCCTGACGTCATCACGTTTCCGACTTCCGGAAAGTCAGCGATTGCATCACAAATCTGACGAAGGTTGACGGGTTCAGCCGAAAATTTATGGTGAGTTCTCCTTATTGTGTTGGAACAAGTCAAACTCTTTAACTATGTATTCCACCAACACAGATGAGCTTTCATTCGAATGCTTCCAAATTGATGCTTCCAGATTGATGATGGTTTACACTTCACTTCATATCACTTCATATTAATAAACACCCTTCACATTTTCAGCTAATATTTTCAATAAGTGATTACATATTATTGACAAGTATGATGTACAGGTATGAATGATGATAACTTTCATGAATATTCATTTTGAACATTTTCTGCAAAAGCTTCAGAAATTTCTACTGGAAGAATTTTTCCTGTACATGGGAAGAATTGTTCTGCTATTAAGACTGCAAAAAGTCTCTTTCTAGTAGAAAGCTTTTTGAACATGTTTGAGGAGGTGGATTTTGCTCCTGCTGTGCTACCTGGGCTGATACCTGGGCGGGGTGTAACATTTGTGTAACGGTTATGACTAAAAAAGATCAGATAGCATCATAAAAGACCCTTGTCTCAGCAAGAACACTTCATATTAGACCTGATTGGTTGTGGTGTTGGAAGCCAACTTTTGAGGACACTTCATGGTCACTTACAGTTTCTGTTTGGCAGGTATAGTCCAATCTGTCCTACTATGGATGGGCAACTCCCCTGGCCAAATCCCTTTGAAACATCATGGGGGTAGAAATTTATCTTTTTTTTTAAAGAATGAAGACTTGGCTAAGTACAGGTCACAACAAAACAAGATGAATGGACATGGTTAACAGATAAACAATAACTCCATGGAAACATTTAAATCAAAAGGAAAATATTTGGAGTTTTAGTGCCATAATCCTGCCATGTATAAGCCTCAGCCGATGTACACTGAAAACATAAAAAGCAAGGAATCGATCCTCAATTTGCAACATGAACTTGCTTTCAGTGCAAGGAGTTGTACAATGCTTTAGGAAATTCATGTTACATTTTCTTTTGTAATTATTCTGTTCCTGCACCTTTGTCATGCGGGTCATACCTCAGGTCACCTATTGTTCCAGGCATGCAAATGACCACTGTCCAATTATCAAATTAGAGAGTCTGGTCGGGCTACCCTGACATGGGTGCACTGGCACTGGCTCAATAGCCCGAAAAAATACTAGTATCCTATCAGAAAATCTCATGACATTGTAATGACAGTGTCAGATGGCCTGGGTTCACACGCTGAGAACCATGTCTTGGCCAAATCTTTCTATCCCACAACTAGTTTGTAGTGTCATGATTAGATTAGATTTAGATTATGAACAAAAATTAATGATGAGAATCTTTACAGGATTTGTAATAAGTCTAAATTACAATTTAATTGGAAGTGCTTGCCCAAGGCCTAGAGTCAATTCTATATTGCTATATTCCACATTACAAATTGTAACCATTTCGAAAAAAAAACACAATGTTTCTTGATAATTTCAAAGTATGATTTTAAAAAAGTAGAAAATTTTCTAATTGTTACAATATTTGTGAAACATCTCAAATAGGTTATATATATAATGAAAAGAGCTGTTCATTCAGTTTGGATATTTCCCAAAAATTTAGGAACAGAACGTAAAATGCTTGTACAGCGCAGGATGTACATGTATGATAGCAGACCAGGTAGCCTGGGTATAAGAAACAGGGGCGAGCTGTAGCGCCTATAACCCCCCCACTGTTACATGGGTACCAGACTGCTGCCAGGCTAGCTCCTTGGCTCCTGGAGGGCCAACATTTGCCCAAGGAAATGTCACCATAGAGTGATAATAGACATCCCTCAATAAGCCTATGAATTACATTGTAAAGGCTTGTTATCCCCTAGACACAAAGAACACAGTTT